AAGCCTCACATCAAGCACTGAAAAAGTTTCAATGTGGTATGTTAGGAACTATTTTTCATAGGAAGGAATAAGAAATAAACAAGGGAGAAATAAGAGATGCTGGAGTTATTTCCATCCCAAAACTTGCTCTGATTAGGTGAGAATTTTGTCTCCCTGATGACACAGAAGTAAACATCCCTGAAGTACCTGAAGCACACTGATGGGAGTGCTGGTAGACACAGGGAATTACTGTAACAACCATTCTCCTCTTTTCAAGCTATTGAAAGAGGAGATTTCTAGTAGCATGCTCAGCGTCACTTGGCTGAAGCATTCCCTGTAGATTAATTCTGCAACCACTAAGGGAGCCTGCTGGCAAGGCTTCATTTGGAACATTTTGCCTCAATGCACCCTGCATTAGAATACTAAAACCTTAAAATAAAACATTTTTCCAAATACTGCAGAGCCATGCCAGAAAACAAATAGCAGTTTCCAGGGCAGGCAGCATCTGAAAAAGGAGGCCTGCCCAATGAGACAGCTCACAACTGCAATCAATAGGGAAAATAATCACAGAGTGGCCGAGGTTGGAAGGGACCTCTGGAAATCATCTAGTCCAACCCCCCCTGTTCAAGCAGGGTCCTCTAGAGCATATTTCCCAGGATCACATCCAGGCGGGTTTTGAATATCTCCAGCAAAGGAGACTCCACTACCTCTCTGGGCAACCTGTTCCAGTGCTCCATCACCTTCACAGTCAAGAAGTTTCTCCTCAGGTTCAGATGGAACTTCCTGTGCTTCAGTTTGCGCCCGCTGCCTCCTGTCCTGTCGCTGGGCACCACGGAGAAGAGGCTGGCCTCATCCTCTCGACACCCTCTCCTTCAGATACTGGTACACAGGGATGAAATCGCCTCTCAATCTTCTCTTCCCCAGGCTGAACAGGCCCAGCTCTCGCAGCCTTTCCTCAGAGGAGACATGCTCCAGTCCCCTCATCCTCTTTGTAGCCCTCCAACCGACTCTCTCCAGTAGCGCCATGTCTCTCTTGTACTGGGGAGCCCAGAATTGCACACAGTACTCGAGGTGAGGCCTCCCCAGGGCTGAGGAGAGGGGCAGGATCACCTCCCTCCACCTGCTGGCAACGCTCCGCCTAACGCGGCCCAGGAGACCCTTGGCCTTCTTGGCCACAAGGGCACATTGCTGCCTCATGCTCAACCTTGTTGTCCACCAGCACTCCCGGGTGTCCTCCTCTGCAGAGCTACTTTCCAGCAGGTCAGCCCCCAGCCTGTACTGCTGCATGGGATTATTCCTCCCTAGGTGCAGGACCTTGCACTTGCCTCTGTGGAATTTCATGAGGTTCCTCTCGGCCCAGCTCTCCAGCCTGTCCAGAAGTCTTCTGGTGTGTCAACCACTCCCCCCAGTTTAGTAGCAAGTTTGCTGATGATGAGCGTGCACTCTGTGCCTTCCTCCAGGTCATCGAGGAATACATTGAACAAGACTGGAGCCAGTACTGACCCTTGGGGAACAATGTTAGCTACAGGAAAAAAATAATCCTCTGTCAAGAAACCCTGAACACACCCAACAGCACACAGCCAGGCAAAGATGAGGAAGAAAGAGAGAGGCAGCATCAGGATCAATTTTCCCTCCCCTCTAATGCCAGAAAAAGCCTTGGTGTAGCACAGCAACAGAAGGGCGCGCTGTCATTAGGAGTCCAAAGGCTGTGCCGCAGTACTGCTGGACATTCACAGCTGTGCCTTGTCTGCCTAAACGGTGCCTCTACATCAGTTCTGCCCCAGAAGACCAGACTGAATACAGGTACACCCAGCAACTTTTTATTACATGCTTGAGAAGGGAAGGTTAGATGCTGTTGGGTATTTCCAAAGAAGACAGAAGTCCTTTCCTCACAAAATCAGCAGGTTTAAAATAAAACTGCTTGTTGACTTTTTTTTTTTTGAAAAATAAATTCATAAAAAAGGGAAGGCTTGGAGAAAGCAAATCAGTGATGGCAAAAACTGCAGCAGTGGCACCTCTAAAGTACAGCAGGAACTCTAGCCAAACACAGCAGCAAATTCAGAGCCAGTAGGTGAGGTGTCAAGAGGAGAAATTAGAGACTGCATCTCCCTGGTAGATCTTGGAAACGTGAGAGGCAAAGAACAGAAGTGCAGAAGATCAAGAGACTTCCCTCTCTTACTCCTTCCTTGTTAGTGAGGAAAAGGAAGGCAAGACAACAATCCCCCTTTTCTCTATCCTTGTGTGCAGCGGTTGTGGTAAAAGTAAGTCTCTTGGTTAGTGAGCGACTCACTAACTTGAAGACTACTACAAAGCAAAGCTAAACAGTTTCCCAGCTAACACCTCTGTATGCACACTGGTGACTGAGGGGTTAGACTGCACTCTAGAGAAGGAGGTGTAAGAGGACATGTGGAAACAGCCAGTAAAGGGAACTTCACATTTAAGGAAACTGCACAAAAACAGTCAGAGGAAAATACATCAGTCACTTGAGAGAACAATCTTATAATTAAAACAGCAGCTGCGAGGTCCCTAGGCAAACAGCACTGGCTGGGAGGGTCTGAGCAGTGTCTTCAACTGTTCTTTTAATGCTCTTTCTCACAGGCCTCTGACCAGGGAAAGGACACCAAGTTACATGGACCTAGATCTTGATTCTGGGAGCCAAGAGTTCTAGCTAAGCACAAACACCGAGGAGCACCGTTGTGCTAGAGAAGTGACAGAAATATGGGTCTGCAGAGAAGTATGTACAGCTCCTGCCCAAAAGCTGAATTCCTTGCATACTGGGAAGAGTATGCAGATATACTTGGGAAAGACTCAAACAGTTTTTATCTGAACAATAAAAACTGTGAGTAGCTATAATAAGTAAGCATTTAAGTTGTCTTTTACTCTATTATTAACTGATCCAAGGAAATGTTAGAGAACTGAGAAACTGAGATTTTCTTCAGTGAGTGAATATAGTGTACCTAGCAGGGTAACAGAGCACCTAGGAATGATGCTTTAATAAAGATACTAAACCCCAGCTAAGGGATGATGTTGAAAATAGTTTTGAGAAGGTCACTGCAGAAGGGACAGTCAGCACACTATGCTGCAGCAGGACAACAACTTTCAGTTCAGCTTTCATATGCTCCTTGAGAAGCTAAAAGGAAGAGATCAGAGTGCAGATCTAAAACTTCCTCCTCATGATTCTCTTAACATAAGGTGAGGGTAGGAAAAAAAAAAAAGCTTTTATAAACTAATAAAACACCCTTCCAAACAAAGCTATTTGTTCAGAAACACTTTATATTTTTTCCTCAACACACGTTCCTCCTTTCTTATGGGAGCAGCAGTAGGTGAAGACCATTCCAGAAAAGAAAGCATTTAATCACGTGATAATCAGAACGAGAACATTACATTCACGTCCTCATAGTGAAAGCAGCCCAGACCCTATTTCTGGTGCATGCTGAGCACCTTATCATATGGCAATAATGGCATTTGTGCCCGTCAAGCATTCTTATATAAGGAGGCCTCCACATGACTCATTCAGTAGTGATGCAGTACAGAACAAGACAGGTTTCTCAAGCAAGCCAAAAAAACAAGCTAAACAAGATTGTTTCAGGTGTAAGCATATGAATAATTAGATATTCAGAAGAGGATCTATGACACAGTATTGACAAAATGATAGATCCTTCTGTGGAGGACACAAGGTCGTTCCTCATGTGAGCACATACACAGCCCGTTTTCATGCGTAGCTCCACCATATCTACTTGTCCAAAAACCTGCAGAGCTTTTCAAGCAGAAGAATTTCTGTCCTGCTTCAGTATTTGGGAAAGGATAAGGACAAAATACAAGTGGGTAATTTAAGCAATTAAGTGGCAAGTGATCTGTGTAGTTGACTTGCAGCCATGAGTAAGGTGCACAGTTTTGCTTTGAGTCAGCTATTCCATCACAGCTCAAATTACAGGGGCTAGGATAACCTTCCACTGTACCTTGGGAGAAAGAGTGCATGCAGAGAAGAAAAAGCATTCTGGGGCCTCAAGGGAAAGGCAGGCTTTTTCATTCTCAGTGAAGCCCTCTAGTTGTAAAGAGTAATGGTGGTGCTCTGAAAGGAAATGGCAACCGGCCTCCTCAATAGCAGTTTTCAAGAGTGGGGAAGAAGGATGAAAGTTGGGAAGAAGGATGACACTGGAAGCCCTGAGGAAAAATGTTATAAAGCTGTTCCCAAACTCTGCACTTTTCCCAGAACATTAGTAAGAAGGTTTATTTGAGGGTCTTTCGAACCTGGCCAAAACAAAGCAAAACGCAAGTCAAACTTGGTTACAAACCCCTCTGGGGGCTGAGTTCTATGTGCTAACAACAGCTTCCATTACATCTCATGTAAAACTGGGGGTAGGAGAGCCAATGTCCAGTATCATGGCACAAACAACATTCCCAGGGAGTAGCTCTTGCTCTTCATAGGTAGCACACTTGGGGAGACTGATGCATTCATTAACTTGAATATGAACCTTATAAAAAAACACACAGGTGACAACTGGACCTCAAATGCTGAATCAAGCAGACATTTTAAAGTCACTAAGAAGGTCTGTATCCAAAGCTTTTGCAGTTCTCAATTTCTCTGCTTGCTTGGTCAAGTGTATCACTCCAAGCCACACACAGACCAACAATAGAGAGCTATCCAGAGCTGGCATTAAACATATTGACTCACATTGCAAAGGCCAATGGCATCCAGCGAGTAAAAACTCTCTCTGCTTATATAAACCAGATTTATCTTCTATAGTGATTTAAAAAAAAGGGACATTGCTAAGGTCTTACTATACCCAATAGGAACTGCCCTTTTAAGAAGCATTTAATTTACTATGATAGGCCAGAAAAGTGATGTTTCAGCTCAAGGATCCCAAATAATAATGGAAATAAACTACTATGATGCTTTGATAAAAGGAGAATAGAATATATTGCATCCAAAGCTTTCAGAAACTGGACATGTGCAAGCAGAGGCTGCCTTCTCTTTAGAGCTCACAAACAAGATGCTGATAGAGACAGGGTTTCCTTACCTCTCAGTTGTCCACTTTTCCCTGACAGATCTGCAGAAAAGAAAGAACCCCTCAAACTCTTTACTAGATGTCAGGTGTACAACAGCAGCAATAATACAGAGCTTACTTTATAAAGAGTTTCACTTCTAAAGTTAAGTCTTTCAGAAAAAAATAAGTTAGAGCTGAAAGGAGAATCTGTTTCATACTACATTTCAAAAACTTGTGTTAAAAGTTATCCTTGGCCAACACAGTAAAAACACTTTACCTCCAAAGAGGCAAAGTACTTGGGCACAATTACTCTATCCCTTCCCCTCCAGGAATTATGGACTAGGGAAACTGCTTGAAATGAGAGATGTCCCAACCACAAAATAAACCTAAAGCGTATTTCATTTTGCACTGATAATGGCAAGATCTGTTTTCTGGACAGATGGAAGAAGCAACGCATGATACAACATGCGTTTCAAATTAGGGCATGGGGGTGGGAGGGGATGATAAGAAGGGTGTACTTAGAAATATGAGATTTACAAAAGAGCTTCTACATAACACTCCTTTTTGTAGTTTTAGGACAGCATTAGGTACATATAAAAAAAAGACAGAGGGAATGAGAGGTTTTGGAACCTTGTAACAGAATATCAAGCCCTTCACCTCTCTGGATTACAGGTTCAAAGCCAGGCCATTAGAGAGCAGGACAGTTCTTTGGGTAGTACACACAGAGCCCTTAATAATCTTACTCCAGTTTGTAGCTGACAAGTGCTCACATCACAAGAAACTATAGTACCTCAGCCAGCTGCTTCAGCCAGGAGGCCAAGCATTAAATGTTCACAAAGTCCGTCCCTTGATATGAAGGTACTTGGTCTTGTCAAGGCACAGCTAAAGCATGCTGGCAGAGACACTTGCACTGTCAGTATTATATCCCAGCTATTTCAGAGACACAGGAAATTCGATTGCCAAGGCTGTCAAGAATATCAGCAGTATCAAATTCACTGAAACTGCAAAGCTGTTCAATCTGATTATCCAAAAAGCATGCAATTTAGCAGAAGCAACAGAATTAGAGACTACTAAAGCATATATTGTCAGGAAAAAAAAAAAACAAAAAAAACCCAGTATCTGACTGTATAAAATTCACTACATAAGAATGGGTTCCACTGCCTACAGAAGACAGGAGAAGGTTTTAAATACATTAGTGTACTGTTATTTCTTTTTTCTAGAAAAAGATGGCAGTATTGTCTTGCTATAAAATAGTGGGTACAGGGACAAAACTTTTTTAGTTATAGACAAAATTGGGGTTTTTTTTTGTTTTTGTACCATCACACACAGATGCTCCTTTCAATCATACCTATTATTCCACCACTTGTTTCTAAACAATGGTTAAAATCATTTATATTAGAAGACAATTCCAACTCAAAACAACAATCCCTGTTCTATTCTTCATCCATTTCTGTTTAGTAAATATTTATCCCAAGGAGCAGTTCTATAGCTCCCAACTGAGGCAGGTTCTTCAGAGATAAAATGTCTCTTCAGGGAAGCTTAGAAGTGTCAAGTAACTCCTCCAAGGTAAACCACAGAAGCTCAGCCAGACATCCAAACAGATGAATGATACCACAATCCTCTAGTTCCAGAATTTGCTACTCCAATTTCACAACCATTCTGACTTTTCTGAGTCACTGCTTCCCCATAAATATCTGCAGATCAGGTGTGCTCTTGCATCAGTTCTTAAAACGATGATACTAGTTCTGAGGACTATTATACAGTTAGGAATTGAGCCACACTGCTCCTTTAAACTCTAAATTCAGCCAGCTTCAGCCCAAAGCGTCCAGAAGCACCTGATTATCTCGGATGAAACTAAATACTAACTGTTCCAGCCCTCAGGTTGGTTCTGGTGAGGATGCAGGATCTGAATTAGATCGTTTCTGTCAAACCCTTGGGGCCACTGTTTTGCACTGAAGATGGTGAAATCTATGACAGATTGAAAATCACCCCAGGACCTGTACCATACCAGGCAGTGTTACGTTTTAACTGCAGTGAAGGGATGCAGGAAATAGCACAGCGTCACTCCTTGGCTCTTAATTATAATCTTGTGACACTATAGTTAATGGTCTGTCATGGGCTCCATCGTACACCCTGATGTTTGCAGGGGGCAGACAGATGAATCTGTACTCTCAACACCCAAGTACCAAGTCATAAATAGCTTTAGTCTGGAAATAACGTTACTGTTCTTTTGTTGCAGACCCCATAGTACTTCCTTTTAGTACCAATCAATCCTTGCATTAACCCCTGCTGTGATGATGGAAAATAGATTTGGCTGTTTAAGTAGGATATACAACCAGAGCTATGTTTGGTAACGGTCCAGTTATGCTTAAGGATTTGCATGTCTTGTGATTACATCTGACACCAACTTCTTTAGCATCTCTCTAGTCAGAATCTCCAGGAGACCTCTGTGATTTTAAGGAACAGTCAGCACCTTTCGACTACCATGAATGCAAACCCTAATAAACCGCATTATATTTTCAATTAAAAAAAAAAAAAAAAGAGCCCCTCCCTCCCCAAAATTGATTTTTCTATTAACAATGATATAATGCAGAGTTCCTTTTCTCTATACATTACAAGATTTCAGAGTTGCAGCTCAGTAAGAACTGTGAAAGCACAGATCATTCACCTTATCTAAAGCTACCTGTAATGTCACAGGACAGAGCTTTCGCCCACCACCCCTTCCAAAAGCCTTACCGTTGCTGTAGGCATAAGGGGATTCTGATGCTCCATCTTGAAGGCTCTCCAGGATTTCTCCTTTACCAACATCACTGTCTCCTACCAACAAGAACTTGAGCAGATAATCATAGCTCTTCACAGGGCTTCCCTGGGTTCCCATTCTCCCTCTCATTAGTGAAGAGGCACAAACCGCATACTAAACACACAGCCAGATTGAAGGGAGCTCCAGTTCCAGCCTCTGAGTTTTTAAAGATAAATGTATGAGAATGATTATCTCTCTCCCCCTTTCAAAGGGAGGCAGAAAAGGAAAGAGAAGAAGGAGGTGATCTCAGAACGAGCCCTCCATCTTCCCCATCTTGCATCTAATCTTCTCTGCCAAGGTACGCTCAGACACCTGGGGGAAGGAGGGGAGAGAAGAAAAAAGAAGAAAAAAAAAATCTTAGTTCCTTCACCCGTGATTAGCATCTTATTAATTAAGCAAGCATTCCTCCCAGCTGCTGACAAAGAAATCGCACTTGATTCTCCTCAAGGCCACTGAAGTCGGAGCAACAGCTCCCAGCGCGGAGCCCATCCCCCGCCGGCTCTGCGGAGAACACGGTGCGGCAGCGGCCCACCGC